GCATCTCCCAGGAGGGTTCCGCGAATCTCTACTTTTGCCCGTCAAGGAAGAGCTTCTGATGGAAAAGGTAGATGAAAAGAGAATGGGAATGCTACGACCCGGGGCGATTCGAGAGAGGGTTCCGGCCCGCACGGGTTCCGAGCATTGTGGGGGACGTGCTATTTGGGGAGCATGTTGCATGCATCCTTGGACCTGGCTGTATAAAGTATTGGGATCTGGCATGCCTACCTTCGAACTGCGCTCTTTCTCATTCGGTATGCATTGCACGTGTGTATGCATTGTGTGCCTTTTGTAATGATGCGTGGAGCATGCATTGTGTATGCCTTTGTAGGCATGTTGATTCATTACAAAAGGCACGCAACAGTTTGCATGCATTTTGTACGCATTGCACGTGTGCATGTTCTGTGACACAGGTGCACTGTGTGCATGGTGCAGTAATTGTGTATGCCTTTGTGTGCATTTAGTCGCCTGTTGTGTGCACTTTGGGCATACCAAATGTATACAAAAGGCACAGAACACGCACGTACCATGTTTGTGTGCCGGTTGTTTGCATTTTTGGCTCTGGCTGTGTGCATTTGGGCTCTGGCATGGCTAGCTGCTTTTTGTATGCGTTTTGCACGCACTATGCGAGTCAAGTGCATTTCCCACATGCTTTTCATGTGTTTTGTGTGCACATGTATGATATTACTTTTTCACGTTGCATGCATGTTGTATGCAGATGGTTTGCATTTGTTGATTTGGCTTGAATACGTACTGTCCAACCCAAAATGCGTACAAAAGGCACACAGCAAGAATGCAGCATGCAGTTTTGCGCAGATTATGCCTGCATTGTTGGCTCTATTGCAGCATGTGTTGTTGTGCGCCAACTTGGGTGCAAAACCCATACAACACATGTTTGTATATATTCTTTGTATGCATATGTATGCATGTTGTCTGCATATAGCATGCATCGCGGGCATACAACATGCACACAAAAGGCATGCAAAATCCATGCACTGTGGTATATGGTTTGGAAAACCCGGTCTTCCAATTAAAATGCATCCTATTTTAGTAAAAGGGTTGACATCATACTGTACCCCAAAGAAGCAGAAAGGGATATTGTGCGTAGGGGGTAGGTTTGCTATGGCTAAGTGGAGGTGACTAGGAGGGTACTGGCCATATCCCTCCCCCTCCAAATATCAGGTTACCCAAAAGTGGTGGTTTGGATTGGCTGGGGGTTCGAACCCCAGGTTCTTGTTGAGGGTAGATGGGGAACCACACACCAATCCAAACCACCAATTAAAAGGCAGCTATACCCCTTACTTCAACTAGAAATCCAATAATATTTCACCCAACAGAAACCTTACTTCCCCTAGTTGTCCGAGCAACGTCGCGCTACTTCAGACCACCACCTTCGGACCTGAAAACAAAAATGGACATTGGCACAGCTGCTGGGTAAGGTCGCTTAGCAATCGAAACAACTCTTGGCACAACTACCCATTCGCAGGACTTCCTTTGGCCTCGCGGATTGCATCCTCCGGGTTTTGTCTGGCCCTACAACTTCCGCACGAGTCGGAGAACAAGCCGCGCACAGAGTCTCCCCCCCAGCTTTCAGACAAACACACCTGATTTGGTACAGTTCATGGACGTATTCTCGAGTGCACGCACAGTCCACCAGACTGCGCGTGCGAATGTAGCGGGGAGGTCATAGCTTGTCGGCACGGTTGCCCAAAAAAAAAGACTCAGGGCTCCCGATTTATTTCTCGGTCGGGTCGGACATCAACAAAAGAAAGCTCACTTTGACTTGGCCCCAAAAGTGTTCAATACCAAAAGGTGCGCAGCGTTTCCAAGCACGTCGCAAAATGCGGTCCTAGTCCGTGTTTTGGTTTGTCCCTTGCCCGGTTCCGGTTAGGAAGACAGAGCACCAAATCTCCCGAGGTGACTCGATGGCATGAGATGCAACTCTGCCAGCAGACGCTTCGGAAACTGGAGATGGATGATTGGCTTGTCTCCCACTATGGACAAACACTTCCTGCTAAAGAGCGGCGAGGTGTGTGAGAACGCAGTGTGAGATAACTACAGTAATTGTTCGTTCAGCTGCGCTCTGGCTCAACAGCGCAGAGGGTTCTGGAAAAATATGCCCCTTACTTCAACTAGAAATCAAAATTCACCCAACAGAAACCTTATTTCACCCATGCTTTCTTAGGGGAAACAAGCACTTGTGGGTTTCTTGACACCCAGAACTGGAGTCGCTGCATCTGAACCCAAGCTCGCAGCCTTTCGCGGACAAAAACTCACCTGGTCGGCCCTGAAGATACCGCATGGTTTTAAGGTTCCACGAGAGATCCCGGTGGAATCTTAGGGGTTATAAACCACCCTAACTTTGGTGGTGCGGGTAGGCCGCACTACTCCATACCACCACCTTCGGCCATGAAAACAAAAATGGACATTGGCACAGCTGCTGGGTAAGGTCGCTTAGCAATCGAAACAACTCTTGGCACAACTACCCATTCGCAGGACATCTGGCGCACGAGTCGGAGAACAAGCTGCGCACAGAGTCTCCCCCCCAGCTTTCAGACAAACACACCTGATTTGGTACAGTTCATGGACGTATTCTCGAGAGCACGCACAGTCCACTGCGCGTGCGAATGTAGCGGGGAGGCCATAGCTTGTCGGCACGGTTGCTGGTTGCTGGCTGTGCCAAATTCCTGCAAGACTCAAAGCTCCCTATTTATTTCTCGGTCGGACATCACCAAAAGAAAGCTCGCTTTGACTTGGCCCCAAAAGTGTTCAAAACCAAACGGTGTATATAGGGAATCCTGAGACTTGCCTGTGACATTAACGTGATCGAGAGAAGTTGATCGCTGTGCATCCTGACCCGGCCAACTCCTGCCTGCTACCTCACGCACTAACTCGCAAAATGTGGTCCTAGTCCGTGTTTTGATTTGTCCCTTGCCCGGTTCCGGATAAGAAGACAGAGCACCAAATCTCCCGAGCTGACTTGATCGCATGAGATGCAACCCTGCCAGCAGCAGACGCTTCGGAAACTGGCGATGGATGATTGGCTTTTCTCCCACTATGGACAAACACTTCCTGCTAAAGAGCGGCGAGGTGTGTGAGAACGCAGTGTGAGATAACTACAGTAATTGTTCGTTCAGCTGCGCTCTGGCTCAACAGCGCGGAGGGTTCTGGAAAAATATGCCCCTTACTTCAACTAGAAATCAAAATTCACCCAACAGAAACCTTATTTCACCCATGCTTTCTTAGGGGAAACAAGCACTTGTGGGTTTCTTGACACCCAGAACTGGAGTCGCTGCATCTGAACCCAAGCTCGCAGCCTTTCGCGGACAAAAACTCACCTGGTCGGCCCTGAAGATACCGCATGGTTTTAAGGTTCCACGAGAGATCCCGGTGGAATCTTAGGGGTTATAAACCACCCTAACTTTGGTGGTGCGGGTAGGCCGCACTACTCCATACCACCACCTTCGGCCATGAAAACAAAAATGGACATTGGCACAGCTGCTGGGTAAGGTCGCTTAGCAATCGAAACAACTCTTGGCACAACTACCCATTCGCAGGACATCTGGCGCACGAGTCGGAGAACAAGCTGCGCACAGAGTCTCCCCCCCAGCTTTCAGACAAACACACCTGATTTGGTACAGTTCATGGACGTATTCTCGAGAGCACGCACAGTCCACTGCGCGTGCGAATGTAGCGGGGAGGCCATAGCTTGTCGGCACGGTTGCTGGTTGCTGGCTGTGCCAAATTCCTGCAAGACTCAAAGCTCCCTATTTATTTCTCGGTCGGACATCACCAAAAGAAAGCTCGCTTTGACTTGGCCCCAAAAGTGTTCAAAACCAAACGGTGTATATAGGGAATCCTGAGACTTGCCTGTGACATTAACGTGATCGAGAGAAGTTGATCGCTGTGCATCCTGACCCGGCCAACTCCTGCCTGCTACCTCACGCACTAACTCGCAAAATGTGGTCCTAGTCCGTGTTTTGATTTGTCTCTTGCCCGGTTCCGGATAAGAAGACAGAGCACCAAATCTCCCGAGCTGACTTGATCGCATGAGATGCAACCCTGCCAGCAGCAGACGCTTCGGAAACTGGCGATGGATGATTGGCTTGTCTACCAGTATGGGGAATGACCGAGTTCAGTTTTTGGGAATGAACCGGTTTTGGGGATTTCCTACAAAAACCATGCTGGCTGGCTGGTAGAGGTCATTCCCTGATTCCCTGCCTATCAAACCAGCAAGAAAAACAACCATTCCACCTTTCTTGTTCCGACTGGCGTCTTTGGATCGAAAGCCTGGCGTCGGCTGGCGAAGGTATGCTAAGGACATAAGAAAAACCGACGGCGCCCTGGTAAGAGTGGGCTTGTTCAAGGAAAAGCCCAGATGCTCGCTTGATTCCTTCCGAGGCTTGCGGAAAAAAAGACAACCCAATTCGGGGTCCCCTCCAGCAGAACGCTCTGCGGCGCTGCGGGAGAGGTACCCCTGCAAGCTGCACTCAGTTTGGCGCAGCCTGAAAAAGATAATCATACGCATAGAGATTGGCCCAACACGTGGGCGAGTCACCTTCACACAAAATCGCTGGTCTCTGGAAGACGCCGTGTCGAGATCGCCGTCAAAACTCGAGCAGAGATCAAGGCCTTTAGATCCATACAATTTCCCGTTTGGACACCAAGGAAATCAGGGGTCGGTGGATTTTCCCTTTTGGAGGTTCCAAAAGGGAACTGGACATTCACGGAGAGTTTCGAAAGCAAAGCACGGTCACTGAATTCAGACCGAGGCACCGGTTGATGCGACTCGCACGAGCTGTCGTGTTGGGAATGGCACGGCAAGCACCCGGAATTTGATCACCCTATGAGAACCAAAGAGGGTTCATATTTCACATATATTTCACCACCATTGTTTACCTAGAGATTGTCATCAACCAAATTGAGTTGACGCACTTTGAGCGTTTGGCTGGTAGAATTCTTGAAGCCATTTAAGTCAAGGCCCAAACACTTTGAACTATGGCCAGTTGGGGGGCTTCCCGTACCCTAGGGTTGCGCTTAAAAGCTCTCAGCGCTCTCGCTGCGCAGCTCTCGAGCTGTGCCGATCTTGACTTGGCCGGTGAGCAAGCAAAGCACCGGCTCGTGCGAGCCATCTCGGTTTGCCGCACGAGCGAAGTCCAGCGCCTTGCGGCCCTTGGAGGTCTTGGATTCTGGGTCAGCGCCTGATGCCAGTAGGATCCTTACCAGCTGGTAGTTTCCGTTCTGCGCGGCCACATGGATGGCACAAATCTTGCTCTCGCCAAAAAGTGTCCACCCGCAGGATCTCGGCCGGTTCACCTCCTGGAACTCGTGCAACTGCAAGAAGCTGCTCAGCTGGCGTTGCTGAGCGCACCTTCGCAGCCCTTGCTTTGAAGATTTCGAGAAGCATTCCTTGGAGTCCGCCAACTTGGGCAACTTGGGCAACTTGGGCACATCCGCCGGAGCCGCCGACATGTGCGCATCCGGCCTGCTGGGATCCAGCAGCGAGCCCAATCGATTCATGGCAGCTCTGCAGGACGGCGAACAGCTCACTCTATGGAGCTAATCTAGCTCGAGGCACAGTGCGAGCAAAGCAACCGGTGAGTCTCAGCTACGTTCTGCTTAACTGGGCCTCGCATCCCCGGCTCAAAGCTTCACTTTTAGTGGGTTAAAGGGAAACTTCCACTAAACCCGCAAAAACCTAGAAAGCTAAGGGGATGGCTGGGAGCCACCAAGTTAAGTGTCCTTGTAAAATGATGCATAAGGGGATTCCTCCCCGGGACTCATCCAAGAGAATGTTGGGCAGTCTTCGAATCATCGACTGGGATGCATTTGATCTGCGGCCAAAAATACAGGGGGCGTTTCGAAGGGCAATGTTCAGAAGTCACATTAAATGTGTAGCACAAAATACTACCAGTGGCCGAATGTTTGCTTCTAACCGCACAAAGACCCTCATTCGAAGAGAGTTATTCCCAGAAGTCGCTACCGCCGGCCCTTCTGGAACCCTTGGCGGAGGAATCACGAGGCTTCAGCCCTAGCAAAACCGTCTGTGAAAGCCAAGGTCAACTTTTGGGTCTCCTGCTTACACTCCTGCTTAACATGGAACCTGAAAAGCCGCTACTTTTAGAGCAATCTCCTTTTGGGACCCCTCTTCTGTGTGTTCCACTGGATAAATTTGGGGAGTAACGGCTTTTCATTTGCAAATCCAAACGACCCAACGGCAACAACCTCCGGCTTTGCTGTGCGTCTTCCCTGATGTAGCCCGGACCGAGTGTAGATCTTCTGCGTGTGGCTTCCGCCCGGCAATTTGGGTGTCTTTTTTTTGGGGGGGGGATCCCCAATAGTGGTTTTCCTGCTTGATACATACCCATATCTTCTCCGGCAGGCTTTGGTGAGTGCTAACTTCAGACTGCATTTTGTCAGCACAAAATGCATTCCTTCAAACTGGATGCTGTTTGCATGTTGTATGGGTTGCGCGGGACACGTTGTTTCATGCATGGGGTGTGCGTTCTGTTTGGCTTTTGTATGCATTTGGTATGCATCTTGTATTACAAAAATTGGATACCACGGACGAATGCAGGCATTCCGTATGCACATTGCTTGCTTTGTTGGATTTGGCTTGACGATCTTCCAAATGCATATAACCGTATGCATGTTACATGCCTTGGTGTGCAGTAAAAGGCGCACACAACGCATGCGCCATTTTTGTATGAACTTTGTAGGCATCCTGTATACATTCTTGTCTGTGGCATAGCTACCTTCAAACTGCAGTCTGTAGGCATGTTGTGTGCATTGCGTGTTTGTATGCACATTGTCTGCGACACAGGCGGGACAGGTGCATTTGAAGCATGTTGTGTGCCTCTGCAGGAACTGTGCAGCAGGTTGTATGTGTGTTGGGCATGCCAAACAGTATACTATTGCACAACAGTTTGTATGCGTTTTGCACGCGTTCTGCGAGACAAATGCATTGATGCATGGTGCATGCATTTTGTATGCCTTGCATCTCGTTACATGTTGTGTGCATTTTGGGCTTGGCAAATGCACAGCCACACAGCATGTAAAACACCAGTCTTGTGCGCATTTTGTTTTTCCATGTTTGGCTCTGGCCAGTTGCATCGCCGGGCCTTGCCCCGGTTGGGCCCCGGTTGCTCCGTCGGTTTGGCTGGAAAGGCGCCGCCTACTATAAAAGGACAGCTGGGCCATGTCCGTGAGAGCCAAATGGAAACCAACTACTTTGCTGGTCGCCCTTAGAAACAAACCCCTGCCAGAAGAAATCTCATTGATGATGACTCTGTTTCCTATGCTGCTTCGTTGCCAGCTACCTTCGATGCTCCGTTTCCCAATTTACAGAGGCTTGCTCGCGACTCCACTTGTTTGCCATGCTTGGAACTGCTTTAATTAGTACTCTTTTGATAGCATCAAAACAAAATGATGCGAATCACACACTTCCGCATCTGCAGAACCCATGCGGGTTTGGTGCTGTTGGGGATATCGCCTGAGACAATTTTAGGAAAGGCGCTGAGAAAGCTACCATACTGTCCACCTGAACCTCTGAATGGTTTCTTTTGGTTGGGTGGAATAGGTAACGTGTGGAATGGCCAAATTCGCTACCCCTTGAAGCGGAGTCGCGTACCAATTGGGTGTGCGTCCCAGGGATTTGGAGCCGAATCAGTTTGGAGGTGTGGAGGTTGGTAAACCCCAGTTGCCCTCTACAAAATCCAGAACTTCGAATCCATGAATCCAGCCCCCAGCAATCCAAACCAACAATTCAGGGTTACCTGAAACCACACAGCAGGCGTCAGACTTTCAACAATAAGTCCAATTAAGATTGCAAGCAGCTCCAGTTGATCGTTTCCGAACGTCAGATAATTGCAACAGGGAAAAACATTCCTGAAGACACCCAAGCTGCAAGTCCGAAAACAGATCACATGACCCCCGTTGCCCACGTCAGAGCCCGCCACATATCTTGCCAAGCATCTACGATCAACGGAGAATCGCCTTCCTGTGCAAAGTAAAGTTGGCAGCAAAACCTCGGCTCACGTGCCACATACCGGGCGACAGTTGCGTTGAGAAATCTCGGGCTTTCTAAAACGTCCAAAACTGAGAAAACAGTTGGTTGGGCGGGTTTCAAAATGCGCCATGAGATGGAAAACGCTTCGGTGTCCTTTTGGTTCCACTAAAACAAGAACCCACGAAATGGACATGCTGCGGTTTCCTCTCGCTTTAAAATATCAACGTCGAGAAACAAACCAACATGCGAGCCACACGGATCGAGCTTCGGGTTTTCATTCTGATCATTCCGCCAGGTCGCTGCACAATGTCCGGTACATGTTTCTTCTCAACCAACGTCATGATGGTCGAGGCCACTTTGGGCTACGTGTCTTCGGCGGAGTCACTGGATGTCTATGCGTCTGCCTCTGTGTGTTGCATGCGTATGTGCGACGAGGTGTATGTGCGGTGCGTGTGGGCGAATGCCGATGTCAGCCTGCTTTTGGATCTTGTGCCTTGCTCGGGTGGTGAAAAAGTCCAGACTGGTTGGCCAGTAAAGCGCGCTTGAGCATGCGCAGCTCGGGCCAATGCGTTCCCCTAGAGTTCAACCTCCAAAACACTGGCAAGGACCCGACCTGGATGAAGCTCAGGTAAACAATGGTGGTCATATTATCAACCTCGCTTCCTGAGTGGATTGGCGAGAAACAAAACAGATCAAAACAGTAAACATGCTCTTTACCACTAAAATGATCCAACCCCAAAAACTCTAAAGTCCAGGAACTCGGGGAGTCAGTAAAACAAACACATTGCTTTCATAGTGGACTGGGGAAGCGCAGGGCTCCCTTGGAACACTCAAACCTCTACAAGCCGTGCCAGCGAACCCCGTGCGAGGCGAAAGGCGCACGGCAGAGTTTTCCCAAGCCTGCTTGGCACGCTCGATGGAACGTATGAAAATTTTGGATTGACTCCGGCGAACTCGGCAATGCATCTGAGGCGCGGTGTTCACTCATTCCTGACTCTCCCCCATGTCCTGCTGGTAATTAAGTGGCTGTGCTCAATGTGTTCTCCTTGGGGTGGTTCAAACTGCCAAACATAGAGTTTCTGTTTGGAAGGCTGATGTTTTTTTGTTTCGGAACATACACCTATGGTTCTAGCTGAGAAACAAGCTTGTACATGGCTGGGAAAACTCATGGTTCCCTGCACGTTCCCATTTGCAGCCCTTCCAAAAAGCAAACTCCGTGTGATGTTCAAACCAAAAAATGCACCACCTGCAGGCTTCCTTGTATGGCAATAGGTTGGAACACCCTCAAGCACCAGGATATACATTGACATCCCACAATCGTCGAAACACCCTTTCACTTGGGGTTGGGGGCGATCACCAAGACAACTATAGTAGTACGTGTGAGCCACTGTCAAAATATACGGTTCCCATAATGGAAACTGAGAGCTCGTCCCTTGGTTTTGGTGGAAAAATTGGAGCTCGTCCCCCAATGTCCCTCGCAAACTCAAACAGACTTCTGTATATTTGGTCCCATGTCCCTGAAATTGATCATAACTAGACTCGAATACAAGACTTCAAGAAGATCATTCTAGGTCCTAGGTGCAGTCGTCATTGCTGGCGAACAGCAGCGGCAAGCGGCAACAAGTTCCCCAAAACGAGACTCGGACTGAGCTTTGGATCGGAGACTTTGACCGCGGCTCAGCCCTTCAGCGGCAGTCGGCTCCAGGAGGTGTCTCCAACGATGGCCAATCCAGCCGACCGCGCGCCCGCCGAAGAGCCGCGGCGCAGATCCGTGGCGGTGGAAGGTCGAGCCGAGCACCTGGCCCGACGCGACCGCTGGACTCGGACCGCTGATGAAGTAAGCCCAGAAGGGCCGTATGTTCACACTCCCATACCATGGAACCTGACCGGGGGGTTCTGGCAGGTCATTTTCCTTTTGAAAGGACCCCCCTGACTTGCTGGCAAGCCAGGGAAGAGACTCAGGTTACAAGGGGTTGGTTGACTTACCAACTTACCGTTGAACATCCAAGTTCAGGGCGGTAGCGGGGTAAAGTGCCTCCGAAGGTACTTGAATCAAACCGGAAATCCGATGGCAAGGACATCTCCTTACCATTTGGGTATGGGGTCAAAATTAAACTACCAGAAAAGAAAAAAAGGGACAAGAAGAAGAACAAAAACTGGTTTTATTCACTGCTTCCATTTACGAGCGTTCCATTTTGGGTGCCTATTTTTGACCCTTTGAGGGAGAGGGCATTTCACTCATTGACTTTGGATCAACAAATGGACCCTAGAGGGGGAACCTGTTAAAATGAACCGCTAGGCGGTCCCGCTAGGCGGTATGAAGATTTTGCAGCCAGTCTAATCAGTCTAGATAAATTCCGGGCCAACCCAAACACCACACACCGAAACCGGATTACAGAACCCCATGGAAATCCCCTGCAATAATGTTGACTCCATATGAATCAACCCCAGCCAGAGTATTCATAAGGGGGCGTCCCTGGGTTTAGTGCTGAATCATCACGTTTGGACCAATCCTCCCCACCTCAAACAAAAGCACCCCGTGCGAATTGCAGGGATCGAATCAATTCAAACGAATCCGGAAGATCTCAACACGTCTTTCTCTTCTGGCAAACCAAGCGAACCAAAGAAAAGGAGGGCGGACTGATGTGCATCTCCATGGGTCCGGTTTGGGGGCGAGACCCTTGGGCACCTGATCTGCTTGCGAAGATATACATATATATATATATATATATATATACATATAAATATATATATATATGTATCATGCACATGTGTATACAATATATATATATATATATATACATATATATATATGATACATATATATATATATATATGTACATTGTGGACATGTACATACTATGTATTGCAGATTTCCGTCTCTGGTTGTATCAAACAATCATATTTGGCCACCTGAGGTTCCATCAGTGAACACGCACAGCCCCAGAGACAGCAAAAAATCGGAGCCCTTTTTCGGGAGGGGAACAATAAACCTGAAAAGGCCGGCTTTGGACATTCGCAATATGTCGTTCTTCCGAGGTTTCGTTGGCAGACACGGCTTAAAGAGAGCTTGACCCCACAAAAGGCTGAATGTATGAACCCACAGAGTATGAACCTCTGTGCCTGGTGAAAGCTACCTGTCAAACCAACAAAACATGGAACATTGTTCGTGAGTCTGTTGGCTTTGTGAAATCAATCTAGTGAGTTCCGACATGTTTGTGTCTCTTTCTAGGGGACCCTTTTGTTGGTGGCCTTAGAGGAAAACCAAAAAAGAAAACCACCTATTTGGGACCGCTCCTAAAAAGAAAGGACACATTTCCATGTCCCCAAATGAACCAATAGCATTGACCGAACCTCAAATCACCAGTTGCACCCTTGGCTCTCTGGGTTCAAACTTTAAAAAACATGCCCATTTTCTGATGTCGCGAACCGCATGTTGTTTCCATAGACGAAGGATGTTGTGTCAGGCCAACGCAAGTTGGTTGGGGTGGTGTTCCTTTTGCTTTCCGTTTACAACTCGCAAAAAGGGGCGGGGGTACCCTCAAAAAACAGACCCACATGGCAACGGCTCGAAGGTCTATTACCAAAACCAAGCGGTCCGGCACTGACAGTAACATTTCCCCGTGCTTTGCGTTTTCGCCCCCTTCCCCTCCCCCCGAGTTGCCTTTATCTACCCCAAAAATGCATCCCCCCCTTTATTATTAAAAAAAAAAAAAAAAAAAAAAAAAAAAAAAAAAAAACTCACCCAAGCGGCCGGTTAAAACCACCCGAGAGGAAACAGTTAAACAGCTTGCCCGTGCAAAAGTGAAAAGAACTTTTGGCAAAAGCTCCAACAAACTAGCAGCCAAGCACGGGGAAATAGGATTGTCAAGATGGGTCCCACCCCATAATGCTGGCTCTCATTAGATTTCTTTCCCTTTGAACCACATTGAAAACGGTACCCTCCAAAAAACACACACACGCACAAACACGTCTAGTCTCCCCCCCGCCCCCGCCCCCCCCCCCGCCCGCGCATGCTCCCCGCGCCCCGCGCCCTGCGCCTCACCGAAGCCTCGAAGGGCACGGGCACGCGGCGCTTCTGCTGCACGGAGCTCGGGAAGCTGCTGCCCGCCAGGTCGTGGCCTCGAAGCGCCAGCCACCGAGAAGGCGCTGGAGCGATGATTCCGCTTGAAGGACTTCCGAAGAAGACCACCCCGGCCCCCGGTATTTCAAAACGGGGGACAGGAAAGCAACAAAGAACATCTACGCAAGGGGAGGGGAATGATTCAAGAAACAACTCATTCACTTGTAACCTGGGGAACAGATCCAAAATAACAGCGATAAACTGTCGGATCCCCTTGCTGGTGTCAAAACAGGAAACCGTCCACCTCAAAATGGGCGACTGATTGACCGGTCCAAACGCTGATGGACCCCCGGCAGCTCCAAACTACTGTTCTGTTCAAGGACAGCACTTGGGCGCGCGTGGCTTGTGTCTTTTTGAGAGCCAGGTTTGTTTAGAGGAAATCAGCAAGTTGCTAGGGGTTGATTCCCCATTCTTTTCAGCCATCGTTCTTTTCAAAAACCAGCCATTTCCCCAGGGCTTTTGGTGGTTTTCTAGAAAGAAGGATCCCTGGAAAGAATGGGGAAGCTACCCCTAGAAGGGTCCTTGTTGGGGCCTACTTTGCCACGTGCCCACTTGGGGGATGCATAGGACTAGGGACAGTCAGGGGGCGCTGGGAAACAAATTGGCTCAAAGAGCAGCCCAGACGATTTCATCTTGAGAACCCCAACAAATGTTCACTTTAACTTGAAGGCCCGGCGATTCCCACCTTCTTTGCGCCGCTGATTTTCAGTTTCCCCCCCCCCAACAGTAAGGTCACGCCAAACAAGACATTTGCTCTTGGATGTACCCAGTAAGGGAAGCCACCCAGCCATTTTTAAAAACCAAAAAACACACATGGCCATGGGTCAAAAGCCCGTACCCCCAGTGAACATCCCAATCCCCACTAAAACAGGTTCTAAAACGGGTGGCGAATTCACCTACCAACCAAATTCCCAACACAAAACACATGGCTGTGGCTCAAACACAAGGAAACTAGAATGGCCTTTTTGGTAGATGGAACCAAAGAATCTAAAACCTGCGGTTTGCCCCAGCTCTTAAATTTTGATTGCCACAGCCACATGGGTGAGGTTCCCAGATCCGACAGCGAGAGATCGCCCGTTCGTTGAGCACCGCGCGGGTGCGCAAGCAGATGGTGCTGGAGCTGCGCTCCTCCTGCTCCACCTGCGGTGGTAGGCTCTCACAAGGGAAATGACCCTAAAAAACTAAGAACTGGATTCGTCGGTTTCACTTGAAAACCATCCAAAGGAGGGGTAAATGGATTTAAGAACTGGATGATTTGGCAGTGGTTGTCAAAGCCGTTTTGGGATTCCATGTTGGGGTAGGTGAATTCACCTGTTTTAGAACCTATTTTAGTGGGGATTGGATGTTCATTGGGAGTACACTTGGAAACCATCCAAAGAGGGGTCAAAGCCACCTTGAGGAGCCTTCTTGGCCAATGATAATCCTTTTCGTATGAAAACCCCACGTTCATGACCAAGCCCGAGTAAAAGACCGAAAAAGGGCCGATGGTGATGGCTGACGTCTTGAAGCCCAAGCAAACGGATGTTCTGATGCCTCACATGGGAAAAGCTTCGCATGTGCCCTGGAAAGATGGAATCCAAGGGGGGCATAATGAAAGATGGCACCGTTTCCTTGATGGGCAAGCAAATTCAAATGTCAAAGATTAAACCCAAGCAAAGGCTTGTGCCATCTACTTCCTTTTACCTAACTGTAAATGTCTGAAGTCAGTAGACTCCGAAAGCGGCTGGACATAAGACCAAATCTCTCAGTCAAGGCTTGAGACAATCCGTTTGGCTCAAGCCCCATGAAAAGATGGCGTAAAGCGAAACTCGATGGTTGCCAAATTCCGACCCTTGGAGTCCTTGAAAGCACATATACAACCCAAGCCCTGTTCCTTCTTTGCTTCTCAAGCTGGTTGCTCCGGCTTTTGAAATGTTGGGCGACAGGGACATCCCGGCACAAGTCTCATTGTGCGAGCCCGAAACACAACGTGTTCGATTTAACCAAGACGGAAGATGGTTGTGGGGTTGGGAGTCTGATGACATTTCAATTTCAGCGGATTCGACTCCACCTTCAAATGTGAGTTTCAGCGCGGTGACATATTATCTTGGTATTGTCAGCGTGGCAAGCATATTCCTCTTAATAGGACGGGATTCTCAAAGCCCCTTTAAACATCACGCCAAATGAAGCTCGCGTCTCATTTGTCGCCTTTGCCAATGGGCGCTGCTTAATACTTCCCTCAGCTCTTGTTTCTTCTTTTGAACCGGAGGGTTGGAATTCCACTCCGATTTCCGGACCTCAACCATCAAATAGCTCCCCTTGCATACACCAAGGAGATGGGGTTCCTTCTTCGGGTCCCGTAAAGGATACATTTGGGTCAGGCAAAACAAATCGCACAATCCCAATCCTTGTAGAGCAGTCAGCGGCATCCTTTAAGGAACCCTGCTTTAGACCACTTTTTTCCCCCTTCAGGTGCAAGACATGTTGAAACTGCCCTTTGAAAGGGGAATTCTCACACACTCACTCTCACACACACACACACACACACCTACATACACAGCGTTTTCTGGGAAACTGGTGGATTTCGGGTGTCAACCCGAAACAGGGTTGCCAACTTGTGACACAACTGCCTCGCTGATCTCGAGGACAATGAGCACCTTGTCACTGCTGTCGACCTGCGGGTGTTTTTCGTTGCGAGGCCAGCAGGTCACCCGTGGACCCCCGTGGTCGCCTTGTTAATTTGGAGGGGGCAGGTACTATGTTGCCATTGCAATGGCCAGCCACTCCTTGCCACAAGCTGCACCAGTTGCTTCTTGCTACAAGTTACATGTTGAATAAAAAATAATAATAATGTGGTTTGTGGTTACTTGTGGTGACTTTCGGGTGCTCGTAGTTGCTCGGGACAAGCGAAGCCATTTTGGGGTGCTATACCTTAAAAACGACGAACCACCCAAATATGGTGGGTGGACTTCTACGCTGCCGCAGCTTTTCAACTGCGCACTTCGTAGACTGCAGGCTCGGATTCCCGGGCACGGGAGCAATCTCCATTTTTGCTTGGCATGCGCCGTTCACCCCCGAAGGAACCCCTGAACTAGGTCGCCCTCTCCCAGAGAAAAAGGTCGATGACCATTTCTAGCTATGGTAAAGAAGCTAACAATTGTTTCCCACAGGTCTCTCTGGCAAATTGTTGGTCACACGCTTAAGGCGCCAACAAGCTGGGTAAATGGAATATGACCAATCTAAACCAGTGGCCTAATGTTGACACCTCCAAAAGTGATCAATCCCCACTAAACCCAAAGACACCCTATTCACAAATTGGGGTTGATTCATATGGGGTCAACATTACAAAGAACACCCAGGCCTTTTGATTCAATCGCCGTAAACCCACCAAACAGCTACGAACATTTCGGTGTTGTTCAAACTTACTGGAGCCAGTGCAAACCGCAGGTTCCAGTCTTTGGCTCCATTCTACTATTATGTTTAATTAAATAACACCAAGATAAGTTCCATTTCGGCTTCCATTGGTTTGCGCCAGATCCATTTCTCTCAGGGCGGGGTCAAACCCCAGCCCCCGCCTGGCGCTCCAGCACGCAGTGCTTGCCCACCCCCGCGAAGCCGATGCCGTCTTTCGAGCTCGAGAGCTCGAAGCCGCGGCTGCGGGAGCCTGGCGCGCAGAAGGGCAGAAGAGCTCCCAGAAACGCCCGGGGCTTTGGGAAAAATTCCCATTGGATTTTGGAAAAGAAATGAAAACAGGGGGGGGGGGAGGCTGCAAAAAGCATTTGTTTGGGTACATGGTGAGAGTGAAAACAACTTTTGTTGCTGCTCCAAGTGGGTTTCGGGTTTCTACACGGCAGGTATGGCAGGTTTGGAGAATTTATACCCTCATCACAGGGATTTCGCCGAGATAAACCTTACCAGAGCGCCAAAAGGGAGGCGTTGTAACAGCGTCCGCAAGAGATAGGCATAAGATACACCGCGAAAGGGCGCAGAAGTCCCTCGGTTAGAAGGATGTCGCACTGAAGCCTTTGACGCAGCCGTCCCTGTTCCTGCCGCGTTTGTAGACCAACGGCCCATGCTCATCTTGCGATGTCGCGCAGCAAACATCACAGCGATAGAGAAGGGGGGCTATGAGGGAAATACAGAAGAGGCTCCAGACCGCCGGTCAAACTGAATGCGCACCGGTTTAGGAGAAAAGGCCTTGATACTGGAAAACCCTCAAACAAGAGGGGGTCCAATGGTCCACAGTCAAAACATCTGGACAAATCATGATACTTCGCCAAACCCGAAATAAGGGAACAGAAGCCTCATGGTGACGTTGCAACACCCCATCTGCCCATGATGTCGAATTTGCCCAGACAAGATCCCACCAGCAGGGAGTTGGATGGGGCAGTTTGGGGTCATTCCAACTCATCCCCTCAGTGACTCGAGTGACAGCCTCAATTTGCTTGTCCCCTGGAGATAAACAAACTCCTGTAGTCGCAATACATTCCCTTTGAAGGGGAAAATAGAACATATTCTTAAACGGCGTAAAACATAAAACAGGTTTCTTGCCGCACCTATTCATTGGGACTCCCGCTTCTAGGCTTCACTTACCCAGGCTTTGATTTTGGCTCCTGGTTTGTTGCCTCCCACATCCAAAAGATATCAACCTACATATTTTGAGCCAGGCCCATATTGTCCCCTTCAAGCTGCGGGTACAGTTCCGACGCCGGAACATCCATTGTGGATGGTTTGGTATGACATCAAATCACAGCCAGGCCACTGAACAAGGGAATTCAATCCCAAACGAAACCCCTAGCCCAACATAGTGGATGTGCTGAACCGGGGATTTTAACCCAGATTTCCTCTTGATTTCCCAAACGCAAAGGTAACCCCTGTGAAGGTGTCATCTACCCAGGTCCACCTGATTGTTCTCTTTGTACCCTCCCAATTCTCTTCAGCGATCTTTCGATGGGTGACGAGGAAATAGAAGTGTCGTTTACTTTTGAGTTTGGAGGCACCCTTGAATTAAGGAGAAGCCCTACTGAACCAAGCCACTGGGGTTTTATCATGGTTTATCCCATGAGGCAAACCCGATAGGCCAACCAGCCAAGGCCGGCCTATGCACATGGTGCCCCGCAAGGTGCAGGGCTCAGGGCAGCCCAGGAAAAGGCCGCAAGAGGCGGGGCTTTCCGGGCCCTACGCGAGTGGCGTTTTCGACGTCACTGCAAATGTTCTTTTGGTTGGTACGTAGGGAGTTGGAGTAAGTTGAAGGGAGTTCCCTTGAGCCGAGCAGTGTCTTCTCGACTTCAGGGATGCTCTTTTGGTTGGAGTGAGTTGGAGTGAGTTGCAGGGAGTTCCCTTGAGCAGCCGAGTGGCGGCCTTTCGGAAAGCCCGAGGGACTCCCAAGTTCACCAATCCAAAGCACTAATCCAAACATTTGGCAAGGACTACCCACGATTTGGGTCGCTATTCTCCGAGATGTCCAATGGGAGAAGGAGGGGCCAGGATATCTTCTGGAGGAAGCATCCCATAAATCTGGCAGTGGACGAAGTTGTGTTTAAGTACGGAGTGCACACTGTTTTCTCAACATCCAGTTGTCTCAAATCCCTCAACAAAAACTGGGAGAACACCCCAAAATCGCGGGGTTTCCCGTTGGTTCCATAACAATGTTGACCCCAGCTTCATAACCCTCCTGGCTTGATTAATAGTGGGCTGTCCCTTTTTAGCGGGTATTCATCACTTTTGGAGGAAACACCATAGGCTGGGCATATTAAAAAGTCAAAACAAATCCACGGAGCCAGCTCAGCACCGACCGCCTCAGTGGCCGCCCCGGAGAACACTTTCCGCCTGCAGCTCGCCGTGGGGGTAGAGGCGCAGCGTGAGCCCATCGAGCCCCGCGCACGCGAAGGCGGGGCTTTCCACGAAATGCCCCGGCTGCGAGCGCTCCAGCAGCCTGCGCCGAAGGCGAACACGCGCGCGGCGAAGGCGGTGGTGGCTTCTTCTTGCTTGGAGAAGCCGAAACCCGGGGACTGGACTCGAGCTTTAATGCCTTAAACTAATGCCGAAGTACGTACTATAAAACCTTAACAAACATATATCACCGACTCTCCCCCAAACAAGCGGCACGCCAACCAAACAACACAGCCGGTTCCGTTCCCAACGACAACTGCATCTCGACGCTTCGCCTCCTCACTTCCCGAGTCGATGAACCAAAGAAAGCTCCCAAACTTCTTGTCGAGGCCACTCACATGCTCCAAACCGGGAGAAAAAAATAAGAAGAAAAACGCGGTGAAAGTCCGAGTTCCGAAACTCGGGAGGTGCAGAAATACTCCAAGCCAAACCCGTTTTTTCCGTGCCCCGACCGGAAAAAACGACCGCTTCCGAGGGCCGCCTCTGGCAGTGCTCCAGGACCCACTCCACGCGGCGCACGGCCTGGGCTTTGAGGCACCGCAGCTCCTGGGAGATCCGCTGCTGCACCAGGGCCTCCCCGGCCAAGTGGTCCACGTAGCTCCTCCAGCGCCGGGTGTTGGGGGGGGGGGGGACAGTTCGGCGGGGGGACCCTACATCCAAGCTACCCACCAGGATACATTGGGGTTACCCAGAAAATTTGGAAACATATGGGGCTGGCCTGTTTTTGTTTAAGGGACCCCCCCGAATATGGTTGCTTTCCTGTAGGTGTCCCTCAAACCACCAAAAGAGGGTACGCGAAAAAAGCTGACCCATATAGTGGCTAGTGGCTGTATATCCCATAGCCTGAGCCCGGGCGTTCCACTTGTTCACCCAGACTTAAACCCTGGAATCGGTTCCCCCTTTCGGGAAATCAACCACTGGGCTTAAGTTTGCCGGGCTGTCTAAAGTAGAACCCTGAACCCACGCAGGATCGTGGATGGAACCTGAGTCGACTGGGGGTTGGACCCATAAGTCGACGAAGGAACAACGACCGCTGGACTGGATTGGTTCCCCAAAAGAGCACCCAGGACCACCAAACTTGTTTCTGGGAGTCGAAATCTTGCAACCGCGTCAATATATGGCCACTGTTGCTCACCTAAAAAGTGTTGTCATCAACAATTCGCCCTGCCTCTGAAAAAACACACACGGCAAAGGGACTCCGTCCCGCGCATCCACTCAGATCAGCACCTGAACCAAGAACTGGGGCAAACTAGAAACTGTTTGGATCTAAATCGGTTGACACGAGCTCCTCATTTTTGCTCGCTCCACATGGTTTCAAGGGGGGGAAACGGACCTCAGTTATATGACGAGTTTCACGTTGAGCCGACTGCTGTTCGCCGACGGGTTCGGAACGAATGCGAGTGCAGCTTAGGCTCAGATGATCCTGGAGGAGATCCTGGCAGGTCTTCCGGGGGTCATTACTTCGACGATCTTTTGGGGTTACCCTCCGCACGTTTCCGGGTCCGTCCAAACGGAAATTGATCTTTCAGGCACCCTCCCACAGTTGCTATGGTAGAGGGAGGGAGGGAAAATGTGAAAGCCAGCCACTTTCAGCTATCACCCACTAGCTTTGATAGCGGGTTTTCCACCTACTGGTAGCAACAGGCATGCCAACCAGCAAAACGCATCACCCTGCTGGTTCTTTCTCACACTGCCACCATTTAGCGGGATGGAGCCTGGTGGTTTAGGGCGCTGGGTGGTTTGACCCATTTCCCCTCAGAGAGTCCCAGGCTTCAGTTTCCAACCACCTGACAAGGCGAAAACTCGAACGAGATGAGAGGGGGATAGACTTCTTGGAGAACCATCACTATATATATATATGGGTTTGGAACGTTTTTTCGCACATGACACACATGTTAACACAATTGCCAACCTCTGCACACCCGGGAAAAAAAAAGTTGCATGGACCCCTAAAAACGCTTTACTTACATGAGTATGGGTCAAAATTAAACCACCAGGGGACAGCAGGTTTTGGTCCATGTGTCCACTTACCAGGGTTCCATTTTGGGTACATATTTTTGACCCACAGCCACATCCCCATTCTTAAAACGGAACAGCTCAAGGACCTCCAAGCGTGTCAAGCTGCGGAACTGTTGGCTCCCCGAAGCCTCCCTCAGATGTTTTTCTGGTCGGATTGCTGATATCTGCACACCCAAATCACGGGATTCACAGAGCTTTCATCCTGGAATCCTGCATGTGTGTTGTGCAACGGTGAGCTTGACACAGGATCTTGTTGACCATACTCCCACAGGCGTGCCTTGTTTGCAATCCAAGAGAACAAAGGCTTCGAACCCCTCCCATTCAGGGAACTGTAAAGGACCAGGCACTACAACAGCTCGCATGCCCCAAACCACTCAGGACGGGTTCCATTTGCAAAGTACATAACAATGTAAAGGGTATACAGCGGTATACATCCTGATCTCCCCTGGTTTGGGCCCGGCTTGAAGTTAGCTTCGTGATCCATTGCCCCATGGAAAAGTCAGCCCGAGCTTGCGCGCCGCTCTGGGCCCCTTTTTAAAAGGCGGCTTCCCCTCAGGTTGATAGGCGCGAACATCCAACCCCCTTCGAGGTTGTCATGCCAACATGCGATTTTTTGCTCTCTCGCCAGAGCCAGGGTCCTGGTCTGCAGGCAGCCTGCACGCGGAGTGTCCAAAGTATTTGTCAAGTGGTAAGTGCACAGGGGGTCTTCCATACAGAAGCCCTCTTTTTTGCGGGTGCTGAGCTTCTTCGGGTGGTTTCTTTCGGGGTCGCACTCATTCTTCTGACTCCGCCAGTCTTCTCTGACACTTGTTGCCGAGTTTTCATGGGCCCAAGAGCAGGTTGGAGGTCGGAGGGCGCTGGGTGACTCTGGATTGGGAGATCTACGGAGATTTGGAACCTGAAAGAGTGACCTTTGGCATTTCCAGGCGTTTCAACTCGCGCTGGCAGCTTGGGGGTGGTCCAAAAATCGTGGACCCAGGACCGAATTTCGACGGGTTTCACCCGCTGGGGCTCGCGAATGTCCAGCTCGGAAAAGTCCGGAGGATCCTAAATAGACGGCTAAACGACCAAATAACATCTACCCATGTCCTTCAAGAACTCCATTTCGGTAGCTCCGGCTCCGGCTCCCTCTTCTGAAGCCCAAAAAATTGGATACCCGGCTCTAAGTCCAGCTCTCTTACCACCAGCGAGAAAAAAAACACCAGCCCCCGGAATCCAATTTTGGCCTGTTGCCGGGTCCTAGCCATGAAGTTATGGGCCCCTATTCAAATATGAAGGCGTTGGTTTCTCCGTTCATCGCTTGGTTGGTAACCTGGTTGGCTTGGTTCGTGCTCATTGCTCGCTTGGTTGGTGGGTTGGTTGCTTGCTTGCACTTTGGCCACCACCTGTGTGAAACGGTCAAAGCCAATGTGGTGTTAATCATCTTACAGGAACGGCCGAAGGAGTAACCTGTCTGGGCGTTTCTCAAAATAGGGGTGCCCCAAAATAGTTGGCGTCCTTGGTGTTTCCCTTGACATGTCAAACGCCCCAAAGGGCCAAGGAAGGCCTTCCGAAACCCGAAAAACGGCTAAAACCTGCGTCCGCTCGCTTCGAGACCGCGCCTGCTGGGGGCGCGGAGCTCCAAAATCTCCAGCGCCACGCTGAGGGAGTCCGTGTGCGGGTCCCAGGCCGGCAGAAACTCGCCTACCCGAGGCGCGGGTTATTTGGAGGCGCGGAAGTTTCGCGCGGGAGGGGCGAGGGGCGAGGGGCTCGGAGGTTTCGGTGAGTTTTGCTGAACTCATCTTTAAGGTTCGGAGCCTGGAACTACCGCAATGAACATGGCAATCATCTACAAAGTTGCTTTCTCCTCTGCTCGTTTAGGCGTCTTTCAGGTTCCACCTGGACGCGGCAACGCGGGCAAGCTGCATTTGCTCTTGTTGCACCAAAGACCCCAAGGCCATGATGCGGTTTGCCTCCAGGCCAGTGGTTTCCCCCCACATTGAGCCACCCATGAAAGGAGAAAGGATGCTGGGCGCAAAAAGCCCCCCATGTCGGTTTCAAACGCAAGGGGTCGATCATTGGAAAGAGGGCGCTTTGGAACCCGTTGGGCCAGCGCAGATTGCATAGCTCAGAGCTGGTTGGGGAGGAACCGTCCCTGCTTCGCTTCCTTCCTTCCAGCAGCATTCGGGTGTCTCAAAGTGGCTGTGGGTCAAAAATGG